GGCACTTGAGCAATTGAGGGGGCATGATAGAGGTTTACAAAATATTAAATGGTGCAGAGAAAGCAAATAGGGATTTCTAGAGGACATAAAATGAAAATATTAACTTGTGGAACAAATTGCCACAACTTGTAGAGGCGGAAAATTTAACCCAGTACAAAAGGGGCTTGGACCACTCCTTGAAGGAAAAATCCATCAATAGTTACTGAGTATGGTATTGGGTTTAGGGAATTCTGAATCAGAACTCCCTAAATCTCTGAATGTGAGAAGCTGCAATGGGAAAGGAGCAGGGAGTGGAAAAATGTGGACATGCCCTATTCACTCTTCCCCTCAGCCTCCAAACACATTTCAAAAGAGAAAATTCCTGGAAGTGACAGTTTCCCACAGTCGGTTTCAGCTGGGATGAATAGATATTTTTTGGAAAAATGTATTCTTACAAAATACGATGACTAGATATGTTAAAGGTCTCTTCTGACTTTCCTGACAATCTATAAGAAGTCTGTCTCCCCCATCATATTTGTCCTGGTATTTTGCTTTCATTAACTGTTCCACATAAAGTGTAAGAAAAAGCGGGGGGAAATAAAGATCTGAAAATGATCATATATTATATTATATTGAATCACTGCTTGTCTTTACGAGCCTATTAAATAACTATAAATCTATACCTCATTTTATCTACATTTTCAAAGAGTTGCATAAGGTTTTAGCAGGCCTGACTTCTGTTGCCTTTATTGGAAGTCACATTGATAATTTTGAGACATACTTTGAAATCTGTGGAAAAATATTTAGCTAGAAACTATATCTTTTGGTGGATTTTTTTACCCCTCATAATTTGTCCAGATCTCTTTTTAGCTGATCTACACTTTTTCCAGCTCCTACTGATGGCTTTGGCAGTTTCTTTCATATACCAGCTATCCTCTGTGTTAAAAAAAAATAGGGGGGGAAAGTCTGTCTGAACTGAATAGACTGCATGCTGGTGAATCTTTACCGTCATGTCCTGTTTTCCATCAAATTATCTAGTATCCCAAAGTGCTTGTTGTCATCAGTACATTCTTTTCCTGTTAGGAGATTTTTTTTTTCAGTAACATCGCTACTTCCTCTTTTTTCCCTACTCTAGGCTGCAGCATGTAAAGATTAGAACTGGGCAAACAATTTTCAGGAAACTATTTAACCAGCGAGAGAGCATATTTTGGGGTTTACAAATTGTCTTTGAGCACATTATTGTTGTCTTTTCTTTTCATATATAATATTTGTATTAAATATTCACCTATAAGACCCACATAAGACTGAATCTCTGAATGGTAAACGCTGTACAAATAAAGGATCCTATCCTGACAGTTTAAAAGGTAAACAGCAACCTAAGAGACTAGATGCCTTTCTACCTATTAAATAACCAAATGGCATGTAGACAAAATATTGTATGTGTTATCCTATTTTACTTCCTTAAAGTCCCTGAGGAACTGATAATAGATGCCTATTTTTACCAATTTCAGCCTTAAGACTAAGTCACAATGAGTGGTAAAGAGTATTGTTCATGGGGACAAGAATCAGAGATGCCCTTCCATCACAGAGCAGAGCTTGGCTTCTTCTGCCCCATATATCTTCCCCTTTTGGCTGTCCAGGGGGACAGCTCCAGTAAGAGGCATTGAGGTTGCCTTTAGCCTTGTTTAGCTGATGGCCCATGGTTAGGACACTTTACTGGGAAATAGAGATGTGGGCTCAACCCCCTCTAGCTGAAGAACTAGAAGTTGGGTTTCCCATTTGTTGGGCAAATACCTAACCATTAGGCTATTGAAATAACAGGTGGGTTGCCGCCCCCCATGTAGAATCTAAAATTAGTGTATAACATAGTACAGGGGTAGGCAACATGTGGCCTGAGGCTGGATTCGGCCCACCAGGCTATTCTATCTGGCCCACAGGGCACCTAAAAAAATTAGTAAATTTATATTTATTTGCTCCTGGCTGCCTATCAAAGCTGATAGAAGCCAGGGACAGTAGGACTCGGAGGTAGCCCTCAGCAGGACTGAGCAGCCCAGCCACATATCACCCACCTCCAGCCACTTCACTCTCTTTCTGCTCCTGCCCTGCCCCAGCACCACATACCTCCTGGTTGCATTGCTGGACCATGGAGCACACGGCCGTGCCAGTAGGTGTATATGTGCGCCTGTGTAGGCAGGGGCAGAGAGTGTGTGTGTGTGTGAGTGTGTGTGTGTGTTCATAGGGTGAGTCCCACATGCACACCTCATCATAGAACTATACCCACATCCTCCCTCACACTGCCATACATTTAGACCCCCACATCACCTCATATACCTCAGCCACCATCCCCCACACACTCTGCCCACAAACCCCACACCCACCCACACCCCACATACCCACACACCCACAGCCCCCCCCCAACCTATAGGCAACTCCCATGATATTCAAGAGTAAGACTTCATTTTAAGCTAGTGTGCATTCACATCTATGTACACTACACAAAAACATGTACATCTGGACAAAAATATATATATTTTTAAATCAAATTAATGAATGCTGTAGATGTTTGATTTTTAGAATGTAATTTGGTATTTTTCTGGTTCCACAATGGCAAAACCCCTTCCATAAAGGAATACTTCTGGGGGCAAGAGGAGGGACTTCAGGTGGCAAAGCGCAGGGGTTAGGGGGCAGGACTTCTGGTCACAAGATAGCAACCAGGGAGTGGGGCACCTGGTAAGGGGTGGGGCTACCCATGCGGCCCTTGTCAGATTGCCAAAACTTGGTAAGCAGCCCTCTGCTCAAAATAATTGCCCATCCCTGACATAGGATCTGGGCTGTTTCTTCTTGTTGTTATATGCCAAATTCAAGGTAGTGTATATATACACTATGTCCCCTCAGGGTACATATATATATCCTGAGATGAAATAATATTACTCCCTTAAGCTTAGTCAGGATGACATGGAACAATAAGAAGAAACAGCCTAGATCCTATTTCATTTCTCTAACATATAAGAAGCATTAAGTATGTTATACACACATTTTAGATCATGCATGAGGAGAGGCAACTTTATATAGGGGACAGCTACATGTGCAATTAATGTGAAGCAATAAATTCTGGGGTTTATTACTCCAGAGTTTATAGCTCCCAGGTGCACGTTCAAATGGCGTGCCTTGGAGCAATAAACTCTGGAGCAATAAACTCCACAGTTTATTGCCATTTGCACATGCTCCCAGGATCTCAACACATTGAGCTGGGTTGGAGCAGGCCTAGCTGACAGGGGGAGCCAGGGGTCAGCATGGCCAAGCTGGTGCTGCTCCCCCCCCCCAGATCAATGTGCTGTGAAGGGCCTGGCTGGGGAATGAGGGGCTTCAGTGTGGGTCTACCCAGCAGCAGCCCATGTACTGAATCACCCTCATGCCCCAGCCAGGTGGGACAGTGTTTACACGTGTGCTGCTGTGGAGTTTTTTACTCTGCTGCAGCATAGTACTTGTATTTATAAGTACTATCCTGCTGTGGAGGGAGTAAATTAGTTTCTTCAGCCTAATAAGGGTGCATTGTAGATGCCAAGATGTTTACTGTGCAACTAATTAGTCAACTTCACAGCAAACATCTTGTGTGGGTGTGCCCACTAAGTTCATAGTTGGTCCAATAAAGGACATTACCCTAAAAAAATCCTTGTCTCTCATAATTTCTGAATAATCATGCTTACATCACTCTTACAGTACTGTAACCAATAAGAAGTATAGGCATACTCTTAGATGCTGAAGTACCAATTAAATAACTACTGGATGGAACAGCATCTAGCCCTTTGTGGGAGGTGTAATTGATGACCTAAGGCAAAACATGTTGCTGTCCTTTTTAGGTGAAGACCTAAGCTTTAACAATCAGAAGAATCTATTTACTCTTTGTGGATTGTGTGGACTTTCAAAAAAATCCACTAAAACTATTGGGTGAAGACCATAAGTCTCCTTAGATGTTTTCTAATGGTTACATTCTGTATATTTTGGATCTTTCTAAACTTTGTGAATTTCAGGAAATCAAAACATTCACAAGAATATGTTTAATATTATCTTAATGTATTTAACTCAGTGCAATTGAAGCAGCTAGTAAAATACTCAGGGTGTGTACACATATTAATCTTGGAGAATTCTCCCAAGTTTACTTTCTTGGTAAAGAAACTTACCCACAGCTGCATGTACAGGCATTTGAATTCAGAGGCCCTGAATAATGAAAAGCTCACAGTGCTGAGACTTTGCAGCTGGAGGTTGCTAGTGGGGAGCTGTGCACTCATCTCAGTGTGTTCTGCAGGCTTTCTTAGTCTGCCTAGCAACAAATGGCAACAGGCCATTGGGTAGGCCCAATTGGCTGATGGAAGCTGCTCATGGTCGGCCTGTATTTCCCTGCCAAAAAATGTGAGGATTGTGAAGTGGGTGTAGGAACCTACCCAAATAATGTAAGACAAAGACTCCAGCAAGTGATACACTATCTCTTTGGGGGATTGGGCGGGGGGGTGCTAGATGATTATGTTGTCTTTTGAGAGAAGCCACAGTATGTACAGACATTCACCCTCCTGGGAGTGATTTAACCCTAGTTGTCCCCTGGTTATTTTTCTCTTGCAGCAGTCATTTTTACTCTTGGAGAAAAAGGGCTGAATAGCTGTACAATTGTGTATCCTCCTGGGACAGCAGTGATCTAAATGTCTATACAAGGCCTCTTCCTACTTTTAGGATTATCCAGAGGTGCTTCAGGCATATCCACATTAAATTGGGTACTTTGATTGACCTCCAACCTCTCATTATAACCTAAATCCTTGAAAGTGGTAAATGATAGCCAGAAGTCATTCATGTTGATCAACAGCATTCAGCAGCATTGCCATAATATAAGGAAGAATAAAAAACCCCATGGAAACATATGCAAAAAAAGATAAAAGGAGAACCATGAGCAGAAAATATGTTTTGAGGACATTCTTATGCATACTTTCATTTATTCTTTGACTTCTGGAATCCCCCAGCAGCAGTACCAATTGGATGTAGAAGTCATCACACAATTGCATTTTGTTTTTGTTTTTGTACTTAGTCAGCTGAAGCCAGTTTTCTTTGCTACTTTAGGTGGAAAAAAGAAAGAATAGCTTACATGTAAAGCATTTATGACATGATTATACAAAATCTTAGTAAAATACCTAAGTAACAGAAAAAATGCAAAACTCTAGAACTCTTGGTCGGGAGATGATACCTTTTATTAGACCAACAAAGAAAGCACAACAAAATTATCAATTTTCTTTTTCTGCAATTTTTCAGGTACATATGCACTCCCTCAGGCTCAGGGAAAATTAAAGATGATATAAAAGTCACCATAGGTAGAAAATAAATTTCCTTTTGCACAAAGGAAGCTGAAGGTGGAAGTGTGTTCCTCTGGGTCCACAGGTGCACATATGGGATACTTAAATCTGTCACATTTGTCGGTAAGTATTGTGGAGTAGTGGCTCAAGAAGATTCACAGACAATAGGTCCACATTCATCGTGCCACCACTGCCCATGGATTCCCCTGGAAACAGAGTACTTGTTCAGATGAAAACATCTAGTCCAAAGGTCAAGTTCACATGTTTGATCAAGGCTAGAAGCCATTAGGTTATTATTGTTAGAGCATGCCATTTTTTTTCTTGTCTTCATGACTAACAAAATGATCAGAGGAGCTTGTGATCTAAGGATAACATCTCTTATATGTGGCACCTAGGGTAAAAGCCTTTGACTACTCTGGCCCAAGATCAATCGGCACATTCTATTGTATTCATGATGAGTCAGGGTCAGGATATGGGCAGGTTCTAATCACAAAGAAGCATTTAGCACCCAAAAAAATTCATGAAAGAGGAATACATCACTTCATCACATGACACATGACACTCTCATTGGCACTAGTTATTCAGTAGCATCCATTTATGGTTGCCAAAGTTAAAAATAAATGTCACCCACATCACGGAAGTACCTCAGAAATAACACTCCTTGCGTAATCAAGAGTCTAACACTTTTCTTTAGAAGCCTTGGTCATGTCAAGAGGGTATCCTCCCTGTCAATAAAATACTCATCAATACTGTCAATAAAATACATCATCAGGACAGCACAGAGCTTGTAGCAGCAGAAAACTTCCTCACCTGGCCACACTCTGCCCTGCCACACCAGGTCCCACCTGCCAGGCTGAAGAGGCCCCAGGAGAGGGCAGCAGAGCAGGGAGTACAATCCCATAGTGGGCAGCCTGCCACTGCCCCCCTGCCCCCACCCCACACACAGATCTGAGGGGAATGGGTCACCCTTGCTCCCACAGGAGTGCATGCAGTGGCAGGGAGCCAGCTCCCCCTATGTCTGAGCCTGCAGCAGGCAGCACCCCCCATATGTTCTGCTCCAGCCTTGCTGTCCATGGGGAGGGGCAAGGGCGGGACCTGGGCTTCACAGTCTGCTGCACTGCAGCAGCCACCACCTCTCATAGATGACAGCCAGGGCTCAGGCCCTGCTGCAGGGAGCAGAGGGCTGCAGACCTGGGTCCCTGGTCCCATAGCCCTGGCAGCTTGGGGCCCCCTCCAGCATGGATGGGGGGTCAGGGGGAGATGAGGGGCACCACCAAGGCTGTGGGTTTTAGGTGGGGGGGAGTGAGGGGCACTAGCAGTAATGGGGGGCTATAGGGGAGAGGAAATGAGGGGCCTGGCCCTACATTCTATGAGTGAAGGCAGCAGGGGGAGCGCTGATTTTCCATGGTTTATAATAAAATAAATTCCAAAATGTATGGGTATTTAGAATTTATTTTATTATAGTGAGTGAGGTATTGGTAGACTTCCAAATTTCTTTAAATATGTAAATATATCAATAAATCATTGTGCTCAATTGATACCTGTATATACAGTGGTGTTTCATTTTAATTATGAATTTTGGGTACTTTAATCAGATAATTTGCCTTTTTTATCAGGGAAGATCAGGATCCCTGCTCATGATCAACTACTGCTCTGGAGGAATTTAAATGCAGTTTCTGTTCTGCAATGACCTGATATGACAAAGTTTTTAGATTGTTTGGACTAAGTTTGCCAAATAACAAAACAGAACATCTTCCTTTTTATGCACCTCATAAGTAGGGGCCTACTTAATACTGATTTCACAGATATTGTGGAAATCATAGGCAATGCGTAGGGAGTGCACGGGGGTGTGCATGCACCCCCTGAGAGCACTGGTGCCCTCCCTGAGAGTGAGCA